ATTCCTGGAAACTTAATTTTAGAAAGTTCCGCTCCAGACTTTGGATCGCGACATTCCCCTACAGAGAGTCAAGAACGTAACTGAGAACCCATTCGTTCTGTAGTGGTTCTATATGCGTTTTTCCTTGTACTTTGACAGAAAAAAACGGGAGACAATTATCGGTATAATTAAGGGGATTTAGTCGTCATTGTCACTAGTTGCTGTTTTAAAAAAGTTCAGGATCGGCCGACTCCGAGATGAGGGCTGGGTTGTGAGACGAAATGCGAGTACCGTATTTACTCTAAAAAGCGCCGTGGTACTTATAAAAAATTGAAATATTTCGACTTGTTGATGCGGCGTCTATCCCGAGGTATCCAATGGATGAAATTGATAATCGATGACAATCGATATTAATCAATATCAATCGATATCAGTTAATCGATTGATATTGATAATCGATGGCCAATCGATGGCGAAGATTCGTGTGGTTATCGATTGGTATCGATTTTCAATAACAATCGATAGATAAACTGGTATCGATTGGTATCGATTGGTTGCAGATCGAAGGAATCGGCGCATAAATATCCCATCTTTGTACGCAGTAATTGTAAACACATTTCAGTTTAATCCTTTGAACGTTAACAGGAGAACAAGACTCTCTTCTTTCTTCAACGCCCCGTCCACAGCTATCCGTCTTCTTTTGACAACTCAAAAGTTTGCTCCCGTTCTTGCTTGGTTAACAACTTTATAAACGCGTGTCCGCGTTCTCCCCTGTTCTTGTCAGCAGTAAACACTTCACGGACGTTCACCTTAAAACGGCAAAGATGATGGCCTTTGGCGACGCACCTTATATTCAGTAAAGCCTCTTCCCGGACTTCTTGCGTAGACATATATAATGACACGGAAAGGCGAGGACCGGCAAGTGGGTAATTGGAGTACACGTGCAACGGGGTATATTCTTTGCGTTGAGAAGACTGGGTCGAAATTATTTTAACAATTTCGTCCGCTAGGCTTCCTAAAAATGGCGGATGATCGAACAGGTTCGAGGTTGCTGTGCCAATCGATAGCAATCGATCAACGGTTTTTGTGTGGTTATGAATCGATTGATCATCGATTGACCGATACCAATCGATACCAATTAACTAATTTTATCAATTGATATCGATTGATCGATTGGGTTTTCGATCATCGATTTCCATCGACTGCATACCCGGGGTCTATTTGAGGGCGGCGCTAGTAATCGGGTACGGCTTCGTAAAGGATATTTGCTTTAGCTGGAAGCCTTGGCTGGACAGTTCTGCATGATACTTCCCAGAGTGGACTGCGATAAATCCAGGTTTGTTACACTGGTGCTGGTAGGCTATGGGACAAGGAGTGCGTGCACTGGGGATCCCTTTGTTGATCGGTGTGAGTTGGGCCTTGAGAGTCCTTAGACCTGGGAGAAATTAAAGGCCATGCATTCATGAAATGATCAAAACTACTACAGGACTTACAACGGATGGACTTTTGGTAGGCCTGTGAACGTGTCTAAATAAAGCTGGAAATCTTGTTCTCCCCAATTCGTCCACACTCGTCCTCAAACTCATTAGGTCTTTAATGGAGCTAGCCTCGTTTCATAGCCACTACAGGCTTCCCTCGTTTCCCGCCATCCTCTCAAACAGCCAGATAGCATCCATCACGATATGGTGAGTACGTGGACATGGCTGTCCTCTTTCCTTTTCCTCGTTACTACGCGCGTGATCTGAAAACGGGAACAAGACTTTGGCAGCCTGGTAATTACAGCATTGCAAGATAACACTCTCGCTAGAGGATCGTGCATTGGGATTCGCCAACTTGGCGTCGACATCAGAGACCATCATCACCGAGAGCTGGTGTGGAGCGGCGGTGACAACGGCTGGAGAGTCGCTTTCTTGGAGACGAGCAAGTCGCAATGTGCACCAGTTTGGCTAGGTTACCTGTACGATAACAGGATACAGAGAGTTTCTGTTGCAATGCCCGGATAGTTTACGGTAAAGGTGCTGGAAGATGATTGTGGTGGGGCA